CAAGTGAGCAGGAATTTTAAAGGGGGGGGTGGGGGGGGACATGCCGGATTGTCAGGAAACAGCACGGAAGAGGTGTATGCAGCGTGGGGGGGTCCAGGGAGAGGCAATCTGGCAGGCTGGCCGCCGAACCCCTTTATGGGCCTAATAAAAACATTATCATCACAAGCAGGAAGCGGGAGATTAATCGGATGGAGTTTGCATCACAGCCGCTGAGCGCCTGGGCTGAAGGCGGGAGCATGGGGGCCGCGGCGGCGGAGGCGCTGTTCGGCAGAGATTACCCCTCGCCGGCCCGTGACACCAGCACTAATTATTTCAGTTGCTTAAACCAAATAATCCTTCTCCAAACACAGCGGAGCGTCACCATCTCCCTGGCTACAGGGACCGGCCCCCGGAAAGGTGCGCGGTCGTGCCGTGGTATACGCCACGGCCGGCCGGCCGCAAACCGCTCACCGCCCGGACCGTCAGGCCTCAGAGTGCCGTCCACCTTGGGAGGCTGAATTTGCAGAGAGGAAAAAAGAGAGGAGGGTAGGAGTGGGAAGGGGGGGGTCTTTGCTCTCTGCAGGGGAGCGAATGCACCTTAAAAGCAAATGAATAATAGAGATGGACAAAATGTTTAGACTGGAAGAAACTTGCCATTGTTACCAGCTGAAAGGCAGGCCGAAGCCGGAGAATGAGGAAGCCGCTGTGATTCCTCTAGGATGAATTCAGGGCTTTTACAATCACATCCCCAGCATTGTACTCCCCCCCCTAGAGCCAGAGAGAAACAGCTAACTCTCCATCCATCCCTCTCTCTCTTCCTCCCTCTCTCACTCTCTCTCTCTCTTTTACTTTATATTATGTAATCAATATATTCTAGTGGGAAAATCTATAATTAAATGGCTTTGTGTTGATTGAAAGCGAATAGCTCTTTGTGTAACAGGAAATCTTAAAAAAAAAAAAAAAAAAAACTTTAACTGCAGCAAGAAAGCGTGTCAAACAGAAGACAAAATTTGCTAATGCCATAAAAACGAGGGGTCTGTGAAATTTCGGCATTCCAGAAATGGGGGGGGGGGGGGGGGTGCTCGATGAAGCTGAAGTTGCCGAGAGCTTCTGACTGTTACGAAAGCTGGGAGACAGAAGACGAGAGTGACCAGACAGGGCGGTGTGAGAAGAACATCTTTTAACGTAACTCAAAAAAACGTTTCAGTGGAGCGAGCGACACTGTACCCTTAAATACCACAGAAATAAAAATCAAAAAAACAATCATTTTTCAAAAGGAACTACCAATCCGGGTCGAATAATCAGCTTAAAAGCAGAGGCGCAGGAACCAGGGGGGTCAGGGACGGAGATGTACCCCCCAATATTTAATTTGGCTTCATTCACTCCCCAATAAATACACCTTTCCCTTTATATTACTAAGTTGTGTCCCCACAATATTACACTCTCTTCTATGTCACTGCTTAAAAGTATAAGGTTTGAACAGCACTGTGACTCCTGTCCTGACAAATACGCAGACAAGACCCCATACAGGCTTGTGTAAGACACAGCACATGCGCTGTAACCATACAGGTGTGGGGGTTGCTGGATGGAGATACGTGTTCTCCTTCAGGCCCTGAAGGAGGCAAGGATTCGTACCGGGGGGGCGCCGTGTACCGATCGATCTGACCCCCCCCCCACCCATGAACGAGGGCAAATAAAAAAGACTAATTAAAAAACCAAACAAGAAACACATGCAGCAACGTCGGGGTCATCAACAACCACCACAGCAAAATCAGAATAGCAGCCGATCAAAGAGAGCAGCGGAGATTATTCTGTGCGGAAGACATGATCTCCCACGCGGGGCGACGGCCAGCCCATGAACTGCCATTGATAAAACATGCATAGGTCTGGAAAAATAAAAAGCACTTAATGTAGAGCTTGTTCTGATCAAATATTAACTGCCTCCATAAGCGGGTCAATGGGCTGCCCTCATGCTCAGAATCACACAAGGAATCTTAGATTATGAATAAGTCATTTGCATACATCTGCATTGAAATTAAATAACCTATATTTTCCTTTATAACCTAATACATTTTTTCAATTGATGAAGTAAAATGTCATAATAAACAGGACTTAAATAGATGTACTGCAGGTAACACAAGTTGATCTGACAGAAAGGCCGGTGTTTTGGGTGTCCGTAGTTAAAATGTACTTTTCCCTTTTCCAGTGAAAGAGTAACAGAGTTGCTGAGAGAGTCAAGCTAGCATCACGACCTGATTTACCTCGAAAAAAATCAGCTTTTCTAACTGACTCTGCTTGCGTTCATATTAAAATACACGTGCATTTATTTGATTTTACTTTAATATCTCACTCTGGATTAAACTTTTGGTCACTGGACCGTTATGTACGTTAATTGTTAGTCTCTTATTATTTTCCATGGCCCGAAACACAGTTTGCTTGGAGTTCACAAAAAAAGGCAGCAGTTAACCGATTAACTTATTTGGGTTTCTGTCTAAATATATTGCTTCCCGCTTTGCGTTACTTTATCAGGCCGATAAACACTGTCATATTTTGTACGAGCGGTCAGGACACAAAGTCAGCCTTGAAAAAAAAATCCCTCAGCTCGGATAAATCCAGGCTATTCCCAGAGGAAAAACTGTTGGATGCATTGCGTTACATGGCAAAAGGGAAGAACAAACGTACGTACCGCCGTGTTTATTCAGCCGTGCAATTAAAACACAACCTACCGCAAAAAAAAAATTAAGAAAAATACACACACACTCATACACACACGCATGCATGCTAGTGGGTTTAATTAAAACCTTAATGAAAATACGGGCAATATTTCTGCAACCAGTGTACCTAGCAAGCAATAATAATTTGCACTTCGCGTGCACTTGTTTAAATACAAGAATCCTTTATCTCAGCTACGTCAGTTTATACATATTATACAGTATTTACAGTATTTCACATTTCTGTACGTCTGACTCTCAACATTTCACTTAAAAACAAAACAAAGCACGGCATCAACGACTACATTTTGGTTTATTATATTTCAGAGCCCTCTTAAGCTCGGCTCAGCACTCTTTAAAAAGGGCTACTTTAGTCCAAGCCTTTGTTATTCAATAGATCAGCAACGTGCTCCAAGCTACTTCTTAACAGAAAAGACCCTCAACTGCTGACATTGATTTTAGCAAATCGATACCCAGCATTTAATAAAGAAAAGAAAGTCGACATAAAAGAAGAATAGGAATATGGCATTTAATCTGCCCCGTTAAAAGCGAGCGCAGGAAAAGCACTTCGCATGCAAATCAATGTGTTTCTACAAGGCTGCTAATGTCCTCACGCATCGCAAATAAGGGCATGAGATAAATACAATAATTATAATACAAGCAGGACCCAGAGGTTTTTTTAATCTTACTGACAATTATAAAAAAGAAAATGTGTATTGAAATTGGTAGTATTTCACACCGAAACAGCTCTACAGATGGACAGCGTAGGTTGCACTGCGCATTTGCGTCCCTGAAAGTGTCGCTTTAAACGAGGCACAAAAGAAAAACAGACACGAAAGGCTGCTTGTATAAAAACGGGCCGGCAGTCACTCCCCCGTACGGTTCAGTGACTCCGGGACGCGGGGACGCGCACTGAGCGCCCGCATGGGCGGCATGGTCCCGTTATTATACAGATAAACGGGCCGGCCTGGAAGTGCCTCCCTTACTGTCAGCAACTCGTGTGTGTCTGTCCGTGCAGGACAAATCATCCCCACCCTCAAATTAGTCATTAGTCATCCGACTAATTTCAGAATCAGTAAGAAACGAGTTTAAAGAAAATATATATATATATGTGCACACGGATCAATGTTGTTTCTATGCCTATGTAAATGAGATTTGATGACATAGATTACTTGCCTGGATATGCATCACACGTACTTATTTACTATTGTGAATGAATGAAAATTATTCGTCAAATAAGTAAAAATACGCCGTACAAACGTAGTGATCCGGGCATTACGATACACCGAAAAATCCACAATTGTACACGAATAAGGATCACAGTAAGCGCACGTATCTCATTTCTGTTCAACAAACAAAGCTAAAGTAAAACAGAGACAAAGTCGTGTAACGGTTTTCACCTTGCGAAGACTAAGATTACGGGACAGAGGCGTCATTTATCTGCTAAAGTTTCAAACACCCCCCACATTCCCACACAGCCCTCCCTAAACTGCCTCCAACTTATTTTTAACATGCGTTGACACAGATTAAAAATGTAAATGCAATAAAAAGCACTGGATTTTTCGGAATAATTAAACGCTGGGGTAGTACAGAGCCCGGAGCTATAAAGCGACGTCCCCCCCCAGGAAAACACAGCACGCCTATCATTTAAACGGACTCGCAAAGCCCCTTTCTGGAGAAAATGGCACGGCTCTTACCGTTTTTCCTCCTCGGGTTGGCTTGCTTTCGCCTCTTACACCTGGGGCCATCCGCCATGATCTGCTGCTGCTTCATTGATAAGAGGGGATCGGATGGCAGACGGCTCGCATGGACTCGGCTCCTCGGATCGGCAGCAATATCTAACAACCAAACACAGCGACAGTGTGGTGGGCGATCCCCATTGAAAATGCACCGGCACGGCGGATTTAGGGGTATTAATGACGAGCCGGGACCCTCGGACGGGACAAGTTTGTAAGGAGCGCAAAAAAGAAAAGAGACGCGGCTCGTCCGTCTTCAGTAAGTGCGCAAAGAGCGCAGAAAAGGAGAGGGCGCATTACACCTCCGATATGACTCATATAATTCACTATGACTGCTTATGGGATGGGGGGGCAGCCTTTAACCTCAATGCAAAAGGACTCAATACAGAGATCGCACAGCGTCTGTCTTCAGTAAAGTGCGCAAAGAGCGCAGAGAAGGATAGGCGCACGACACCTCCGATATGACTCATATTATTCACTATTAATTCACTGTGACTGCTTATGGGATGGCGGAGCTGAGCTTTACAGCCTTCAACCGCAAAGCAAGAAGGACTCAAAAGAGATCCAGCGTGTAATGAGGAAACCGGCGAGTTGAACTTAAGGGGCGACTTAAAGTCCCTGATATTTCAAAAGGAGTCCTATTCTTACCGTCCCTTGAAACTACAACATAGTGTGTGTCATGACACCACGGCGTTGCATTCATTCAAACGAGGTATTTCAATGTTAAGCTTTGCCATAAAAAGTTATGTGGGGCCATAACGGCTTTAAGTCGTTTTAATATATTCTGCAAATGACAAGATCGAGTATAATTATTATGTAAGTATAAAGAATGCAATTTGATATGGTTTCACAAATGTGTACCAGCATCAGCCTAAATAGAGCTTATAAAATAATTTGTGTGCTAGACGCAGGCACGACTAAACTGGGAAGCGGAAAAAAGTTTCGTCGTGCGGTCACTACCACTGCTAAGACTCCGTTTGGTAAAAGACACACTTGATAAAGGGATCAATATGTAATTAAAGTGTATGCGAGAGAAAAAAAAACAGATGAGCCCCTGGTAGCGAATGAATTTTCTTGTTGTGATGATACAATGCGAGAGGAACCGTGGAGAGAAAAGCAACACTTAGAAACACTTAAGAAAACACAAACAAATGATGCGTATCTCGTAATGGTGTGAAACAGGTACCATTAAAAACAAACTTAATAACTTTTGCTATAAAATGCGTGCATTTTAGAAAATAAAAAGCAAATGCAGTTTTCGCCACATTTACCATAACTGAAAAACGTACGTTCATAAACCTCGTGTAACCTCGTGTTTAAATAATTTATTCTACATTATCAAGCATCGTATATTAAAACATTACAAGAAAATTAGCGTGGCTAAAATGCATGTTATCAAATTAAAACCCAAAACGCGATTTTTTTCAGTGAAGTTTGAGGATCCAAAATAATCAAGTGGAAAATTGCTCGAAAAACCGTGTGGCATAAAAAACCTCGCAGGATTAAAAAAAAAAGCGTGTGGGATCCAGTACAGGCTTTTTCTGCGATTCAGCAAACGCGCACCTTTTTTTTTTTTACCTGCGCAGGTGGACAAAGTTTTTAGTGAAAAAGACGGCGCTCAAAACTGCCTTTTAATAATGGTGAGAGTTGACAAGCGTTTTATCAGCGAAAACGCCGCCGAAACGAAGAAAAAGCAAACAAATCGCACCTACCTGATTATTTGTGCTTTTAAAATAGTTCGTTCGAGGAAGCCGGAGCAAAGCAGCAGTAATTTCGAGAAAAGAGGATCCTTGCGAGATTATTATAAGCCTTGGAAATAGTTGGAAGAAGGACCGTTATTCCTGCTGGGCAGGTTAGGACTGATTTCTTTCAGCCACTCCAGGAAACAAACCTGGGGACGGACTGACGTGTTACGCCTCTTCTAATGACATTTTTTTCTTTTTCTTTTCTGTAATACAGAGGAGAGACCCTACATCACACGCCACCTATCTTCACGGGGAGGGATAATTGAGGCGCACCAAACGTGAGCATCCTCTGGAAAACGTGATCAAGTTTTTTTTTTCCTCTCTCTCTCTTCTTTTTTATGATCCGGGAGAAATGAGCTGAGTCGGATTACCTTGCAATCCAAGCAAGGATAATATTTGGAGGAAGTTGGAGCTCCCCCAGTCCTGCCCCAGCCTCCAGAGCCGTCACGACAAAAGGGGATCGAGCGGAAATCGTGCCGCAGCGGCTTGTGACCCTCAGCGTCCACAGCGCCGAAATATCTGCTTACTTACGTCTGAGTGTCTGCCAGCGCGTCTCTGTGATTATTCATTCGCTCATACGAACACCTTCGTTTTTTATTACACACCAATTACTGTAACACCGTCGTTTCGACTTGTACCTCTGTATTCGTTTGCCTTTACTTGCATTTATTTATTTATTTATTTATTTTCCTATTTATTTGTTTGTTTAATTATTTATATTTATTGTTGATTTTGTTATTTTAATTTTTTGTAACGGGTTACATTTTCGCGCTGTTTGTAAACTGAAACTAAATGTGACGTATTTCCCTTTTCTCTTGTTTCACATTTTGATGATTACTTTTTTGTTTTGTTTTGCTTTGCTTGGCTTTGCTTTGTTTTGTTGTGTTTTGTTTTGCTGCGTTGTGTTTTATTAGCCATACCAGAATTTGACTGCATATGACAGGTAATGGCTCCGTGGTAGCCTAATTAAGTTAATTGCTGTATAGTGCAATTATTTTATCTAAATAATCAAAAATTAAATGAATGTAAGGGGAGATAGAAATATGTAAAATAAATTAATTTATAATATATCTAAAATGTGCATCGTGACCTCGCGTGCACTGTTAAATATTGAGAGAAATATTGCTGAGCACCGTTACTGGCAAACGGGCGTGTTATTACGTTAACGGGTGTGGTTGTAACTTATTATTTTGCCACTATTAATTACTCTAAAAGTAGAGTTATCTCAGTTTACACGTGCCGAGCGCAGGCTCCACCTTTGAAACGCACTGATTGGTTATGTAAATAATGTGTTTTTTCCCCATCTAGATGCAGTGATCTACTGTATGGATAATTAAATCATCAATCAAGGGGCTGGACTATTTGATGCTTTTGTTCAAAGCCAATCGGCTTCCAAGTGACGGGTAAGCACAGAGCAAAGGAAAGATGTTCAACATCTGGAAATCAGGATTTTTCCAATGGCTCTAGATTATTAACCAATACTGAACTCGTGTCCCCGAGGACATGCTTATTTAATAATATGTGAACAGCGTGTTTGCGGTCAAAACATTATTATTATTATTATTATTATTATTATTATTATTATTATTATTATTATTATTATTGTTGTTGTTATTGTTATTATTATTAGGGGGTTCTGTATGAATTGAGTGTTTTATTGCTTTTTAAATAAATAAGCGGCTAGTAATAATGCGGAATGCTTACCATGCTTTTAAAGTAAAACGGCTTATTATTATTATTATTATTATTATTATTATTATTTCTAAATATTTTGCAAGAGGATGACGGCACATTTTGTCCTATTTCCTTATATGTCTACTAATTATTACGCAGGCGTCCTGCGACATTTTAAATAAAACGTCAATTACTTACCGCAACTTTATGGTGAGTATTCCTTGTTTCTCATATTAGGTTTTGCAGGATTTTTTTGTAAATAAGTTGTATAGTACAACACAGGACAGAAATCATAAATGTACTCCTCAGACTAATTTCATTCGCCAGAATATTGGTCAGGCACGATGTCTGTAACGGGTTCTTCGCTGTAGGGATTAGCACTGGTACTGACTATCTGTGATGGGTGTATTAATTCGTCTCTCAGGTGATTGACACCCATCGTTTTAATATTGTGCATTGCCGAAATGGCATTGTATATGAACATATACCGGAATATTTATAAAAATGCAGCTAAAAATTTAATAACGAACGACGCAAAGTAAACCTGCAAACACGCGACTGTCTCTAATGTCACCTGGAGTAAAGGCTGCCCTTTCATTCGAACGGGATGTTACCCTCGAAACACAGATTAGTCATTTGCTTTGGGTTCGTTTCACGGGCGTCCCAGGAGCGTTTTATAATGCCGTTACAAAGATAAAACAGCATATTTTTCTTAAGTCAGGAAGATTAATTTCTACTCGAATAAACAGCAATACAAATGCAAATAGTTACATTTTTAATTAAAGTCGCCACCTCCGTTCTATTTATGAAGAGAAAACAAGTAAGCCCAGCAAATGTGATGAGTAGACATAGATATTGTTTTGTGTGAATGTATGTGTATTTTTGTATACTTTTTGTATAACATGTAATTGTACGTACACTGGTTATTTAAAGTTTAATGTGATCCACGTATGATATGCTGTTTTTACATGTGCAATAATAAAACTACATTCAGGCGAAGCACGTGCGTCACTCGCAGAGTTTGTAATACCGGAGATGTTTCATGTCGCAGAGGAATGACTATGTTCCTGATGAAACGTCCCTCGTGATGAATGAATATGTTATGTGAATGTCATTACATATAATAGCTTTTACACTGAGTCCCATGTCCTGTTTCACTCATGTATGCAGTCGATGGGGGTTGGTGAAGGGGGTGGGGCGGGAATAAAATAGGAGCGTACCTCACACTGATAAGGAACTGGGCATTTAGCGTGAGCACCGCCGTTACCGCACACGGCGAGCCCTGTGGCCCCTGAGCAAACGGGAGCGTACCTCACACTGATTAGGAACCGGGCGTGTAGCGTAAGCACCGCCGTTACCGCACACGGCGAGCCCTGTGGCCCCTGAGCAAATGGCTCCTTGACTCCGGATACACACTCCTGGCTCACCCAGGGATGGTCAGAGCCACCGCGGTCCATGCTGCACCCCTTACGTTGCAGAGGCCGTTTCTGAATTGTACCTTGAGGATTTTACCCAAGAGCGGCCAGGCCTGTGTTTAGCTGATCACAAAACAGAGAGGCCCCTTTCCAAGCTGGACGGAATGGACATACGGCTCTTTTCACAAACGAAATAAACTGGGCCACGTTCTGTTCCGTCGCCACTCTTTCCAACGAGAGACGAAGTGGACTTTCTCTCACCACGCTGCCTTCAGATGGAGAGAGCTATCTTTGGATTGCATCTTTCCCTGAATTCTTCAGAGACTGGGAAATATGTACATGAGACTAATATTGGTCCCAAGAAATCTTGCATCTGTGCGGAAAATCAGTGAGAGGATGCACAGGTGGTGGGAAAGGGGGCTCTTGGAATCCCCAAACTAAATAAGAGTGACTGGAGTGGACACAGACACTTCCTGCCACTGAGCACATGCTTAACACCCCCTCTGGCTTCCTCGCCCCCCCCCCCCTGGGGCCAAGGTATGCCTGTGCTCTGACACACAAAAGGGGAGCAGGCCAAGAAAATCTAGCGATTAAAATACACGCTACTTCCCAAGCCATTATCTCATGACAGGTGATTTCCCATGAAATTTGCTGAAAAGCTGGAAAGGAAAACAGGATGACTTTTTCAGAATGGCCTCGGGTTAAATCTCTTCCTTATTTTTCTGTGTTCCCTTGGAAATACATGACAACACTGTAGTTATGTCACCTACGGACCCCCAGACGGCCCTTTGCGGCCAGGAGTGCTGCACCTCGGCAGACAGATAAGCGAAGAGCCCGGACTGATCCTGAGCCTCAAACTTGTAAAATTAATTTGCTTCACATTTTGCTAGAGGCCTAACAGGCAAAGGAACACTTTGTTTCTGAGGCGTGTCTCAAATCAAAACACTTCAGATGTTTTCTCACTGTAAATAAAAGAGAGAGAGAGGAGAGATTTTGCAGAGAAACAAATGCTCACATCAAATAGCTATTGATTTTGCTCTTTCTTTCCATTGCTCTCGTTAAATTCAGAAGTGCCACTCCACAATGGAATGACCGTGTTATTAATTGCACTCACACGTCTGGCCGGTTCTGGCACTGGACCTGGCGGCGAGAGTGATCGTGCTCCTTGGAAAAGGGGTCCACTCCCACGTGAGAGGAAGTCCTGAGCTCAGAAAAGCTGGCCTTGCAGAAAGAGGCACCTTGGTGCTTTAGTGTGGCAGCCTTGTCAGCCACCCGTGTTTGACACTGACAAACTCACTCTCTTTTTCAACGTGATATTGAAATATGTAAGCTGTGGAAAACAGAACGAAATCTGAAAAAAGACGACACTAGGTGCAGGAATTAAAAATGCACAGTTGTTATGATGTTGTAATGATTATGTATGTGAGTGTCCGTGCCCTGTGATAGACCGGCCCCCCCACCCAGGGTGAACCCAGCCTTGTGCTCTGTGCTGCCCCCCCCCCACCACCAGCCCTGTCCAGGATAAGGGGTTAGAAGATGGATGGATGAAAATGATGAATTGTTAATACAAATTGCACCAGTCCTCATATGTCTGATCTAAACTCACATTTACATATATGTCTTTTAATGTCTTGTGTGTAATATATGAAGCTTCATATTCACAGGACATTAAGATGCTATTAATGTATATCCACCCCCCCCATATTACATTTATATTTACCTACTTGTTGAACATGTACTCTCTCTCTCTCTCTCTCTCTCTCTCTCTCTCTCTCTATATATATATATATATATATATATATATATATATATATATATATATATATATATATAT